ATATATATATATATATATATATTCTCTATATCTAAATTCTTATTCTTTAAATAATAATAATAGTAATTATAATTATAATTATTATTATACTAATATTATATATATTGCATATGTAATTAGGTAAATATTTTTTTGGTAAATTGTGGATTTCTTAATCGACGCCAATTTTTAGCTCCATTTCAAGGTATAAAAATATCATCTACAAGATTTTGCAGGTCAGGGTAATGACCCTGAAAATTAGAAAGCATTGTTCAATATTCGTCATGCGTCTTTAAGAAATGTGATCGAGAGAATATTTGATATTTTTAAATCAAGGTTCATAATTTTTAAGTCAGTACCTCCATTTTTTATTTAAGACACAAATAGAATTTGTGTTAGTATGTGCAGCACTACATAATTTTTTACGTAAAGAATGTCGTTCCGATGAATTTCCAATTGAAGTGGTGGATGAACTTTCATCCTCAATGTTACCGGTTAATGAAGATCATACTTTTGAGCCTATTATTCAAACCCAGGAGCAAGAGCGAAAAGATGTTAATGCTTGGAGGACTAGTATAGCTATGAATATGTGGATGAATGCTATTTAAAATGATAGAATATTATGGAGAATTATTATTATTATTATTTATCTAGACATTATTGTTTTTTATTATTTTTGTCTTTGACTCTTTTTAAATTTGAATGTATGAATTTTTTTGAAATCTTATCAAATGTAAAAAATTCACGAAAATTCTACAAAATCCACAAATCCCACAAAATCTATTAAAATCATGATTTAAAAGTCTTGCGGAATCCATTAAAATTCTGATTTTAAGTTTTGTAGAATCCTGCAAAATCTTAAAAGTCATGAAAATCCTGCAAAGTCTTTTAAAATCTGCAAGATTTTTTTTAACTAAAAAAATTCTTTAAAATCCTAATTTAATACACCCCTAAGAAAAAGTTAAAAGAGAATATGGGGAAACCATAAACTCAGCAAGAACCCATAGGCTGAGAAATTTAAAAGTGGAGAGTTTTTTTTGATCTTTTTTGGATTTGAAATCGTAGATTTTCTTTATTTTTGTGAGTGTGTACAAAGGCTGAGAAGGATGGAGGATGGTTTGAAAGAGATGAGGCTGTGGTGGGATGGAATTATGAAAGATGACCAAGAAGTAAGGGTGTTCAAATTGCTAAACTAAACTAAATTAGAAGAAAACTAAACTAAACTATAATAAATAGTTCACTAAATTAAATTGAACTAAAATAAATATTGACTAAACTAAACTAAACTATTATCTAGATTAGTGCACTATAGTTTTAGGAGTTTGAACTAAACTATAATATCAACTAAATTAAACTATTATTAACGGTAAAGAACTACATTAAAAAAATAAATTTAAAATCAACATTTTTAAATTAAGCTACCAAATTATTGATATTAATTATAAATTAAATTTAAAATACACAGTGCCAAATTTTAAATTATCATAAGTAGCCTAATAATATATAAGTTATGCATGCATGGGTTAAATCCAAAACCTCTATTTATATTGTTTAAGCCCAAAATCTCATCTTTACTGGAAAAATAAATGAAAGGTCCATTAACGATAAAAACAAAACTATTAGCCAGACTATTAGCCAGACTATTAGGGATAAAATGAAATCTCGTCTTCGCGAGTCCTAGTCTGATAATGGTAGTCTCCGCAAATGTGCTTCAATACTTGTATTTGGTTTCTTTTAGTGAACTGAACTATTAATTTTAATAGTTTAACTTTACAAACTACATTAAAAATAATAGTTTGGTTTAAACTATTAAAAAGTAATTTAGTTTATTTTAATTATTTAAAAAGTTTAGTTTAAAATAATTTTGTGAACACCCCTTACTTTTAAGAGTGTCGCAGATGCATTTAAGTATAGCCACTATGCATCTAGCTCTTGTAGGAAGTTTCTGTGTCTCATATGTGTGTTTGTCTGTAACAGGACTGTGCGTGGTCGGAAACTCCGATGATGATGTTGCCGCCCATTTTACTGGCAATCCTCTGTCTTCGTCGTTGCTTTTCGATTGGTACAAGATAGCAGCACTTCTATAAATATTCATGATAAATTCAAAAACAAAGAGCTAACACCAAAAGGAAAGAAATTTGATTGATTCCAATGTCAGGGTCAGAGAGTTATTCTTCCATTGTTGTGTCTCCTCCTCTGATTAAGCATGATGTGTTCCTCAGCTTCAGAGGGGAAGACACCCGCGACAACTTCATTAGTCACCTTTATGCCGAACTTTGCAGGAAAAAGATTGACACATATATAGATAACAGACTAGACAGGGGAGAAGAGATTTCACCCGCACTGCACAATGCAATAGAAGATTCAATGATTTATGTCCTTGTTTTCTCCGAACACTATGCATGTTCCACATGGTGTTTGGATGAACTCACAAAGATACTGGAATGCAAGAAGAGATATGGAAGGGATGTCATACCAGTTTTCTACAAGGTGGATCCATCAAGTGTTAGGAATCAAAGAGAAAATTATGCAGAAGCGTTTGAGAAACATGAAAAGCGATTTAAGGAGAAAGTGCATGCATGGAAGGCTGTTCTAACCGAAGCTGCTGGACTCTCAGGATGGGATTCACAAGTAACCAGGTTACTATTTAATTTACATTTTATGTACTCTTTTCAAATATTTACTACCTCTTTTAATTTATAAGAACTTAGACTTTAAAATTCTGCTCATCTCACCATTAATCAAGTATTTTTTAAATTTTTTTTAATTTTTACTTTTCCTATTTGTCTTAGTCAACGGTTTGAAAAATATCTCATGTTAAAATTTAACTCGGTATGAACTAGTGTCTTGCCTGGTATCAAAAGTCACAAACAGTTGTCAAGTGCTTAGCCATTCCGCCATCTTGATTTTACAAATTGAAAACCAACGACAACAATGATGTTCACTCTTTTTGAGACCCTATTTTTCATTTGGTTAGTTTTTGTGGTCTAAGACTGATACTTTCTTTATTATGCGCCAGACCAGAGTATACCCTAGTTGCAGAAATTGTGAAAGATATTTTGAGCAAATTGAATCGATCTTCCATATGTGATCTTCAAGGCGGAATTGTTGGAATCAACAACCATATAGCTCGGATCCAGAATTTGTTGAAACTTGAGTCACCAGATATTCGAATCATAGGAATTTGGGGCATGGGAGGAATAGGAAAAACTACAATTGCTAGGCATATATGTCACAAATTTGCATTGCAGTTCTGCTCCAGCAGCCTCATTTTAAACAGTCAAAAAGAAATAGAAAAGCATGGAGTAGAGCATACAAGAAACAAATATTCATCAGAGCTCCTAGAGGAAGAAGAGCATACATCATCTGGATCAAGATTTTTAATTAAAAGGCTCAAACGGGCCAAGGTTCTCCTCATTGTTGATGATGTGAACAATTCGGATCATTTAAAAGATTTAATTGGAGGGCATGATAATTTTGGCCCTGGCAGTAGAATCATTGTGACCAGTAGAGATGTTCAAGTGCTTAAGAATGCTGAAGCTGATGAAATATACGAAGTTAAGGAGATGGATTTTCAAGATTCTCTAAAACTGTTCAGTTTAAATGCTTTTAAACAAAACCATCCAATAGAAACTTACATGGAATTATCAATAAAGGTACTGAATTATGCTAAAGGGATTCCATTAGCTCTAAAGGTTTTGGGCTCATTCCTTTATGGTAGAACAAAGGAAGCATGGGAAAGTGCTTTGCAGAAGTTGAAAATGTCTCCCAAGCCTGAAATTTTCAATGTGCTAAAATTAAGTTATGATGGGCTTGACGAACAGCAGAAGGATGTATTTCTTGACATAGCATGCTTTTATAGGGGACATGAGGAGATTGTCGTAGCAGAAATGCTAGATAGTTGTGGTTTTTGTGCTGACATTGAAATGGATGTTCTCAAAGACAGGTGTCTAATATCTATTTTGGAAGGTAGAATTGTAATGCACGATCTGATACAAGAAATGGGACAAAAAGTTGTTCGTGAACAATGTGGCAATAATCCTGAAAAATGCAGTCGTCTGTGGAAGGTTGAGGAAATTTATGATGTTTTAAGTGAGAACAAGGTATATATTGTCACTCAGATCCCTCTTGATAAGTCACATGGATTTACTTTCTGATACATTGTAAAGCACTTGGATGTTGTTAAACTTCCTGCATCATTTTTTTTCACCTTTATTTTTCTCTAATTCCTTTGGATTTATTTTTAGGGTTCAGATGCAATACAATGTATATTCCTCGACATATGCAAAATCGAAGAAGTTCATTTACATGCTAAAACTTTCAAAAGTATGTCCAATATGAGAGTGCTCCACTTCTATAAGTCTCCTGACTATTACTGGAAATACTCAAATGTGTTTCTTCAATCATCTATTGAAAGTCTTCCGGGTGGTTTAAAAATTCTTCATTGGGATGACTTCCCTCAGGCATATTTGCCGCAGAACTTTTGCCCAAAGCATCTTGTTAGACTCGAAATGCGACATTGCAAACTTGAACAACTTTGGGAACGAGATCAGGTTTTTTTTGCAAGCTTTATATCTTCTGTTTTGTGTGTTAGACTTCAAAAAATAAAAATAAGGAAGTAGTTAGTTGTAGGTATTAATATAATCGTCAAATTGTGCTCTCAATGACTTATTTAACATTTTCTTAGTTGTAGGTATTAATATGACAACATCTTCCAAATTTAGGTACTAAAATGAAGATTTACTTTATAGAAATTCTACAAGCTGCTCATCTTTTATATTGTAAAACTATTTTAGTAATTTTTTTAAAATATATAAAAAAAATATGACTATATTAAATAATAATGAAACTAACACTATATATTCATATATGAAGTATGTCAAGAACAATAACATTTTTTTTTTATAAATATAATTTATTGAAAATCACAAATTTTAGTAAGTTTCATTATTAAAGAGACACTTATTAAATGAGAAATAGGATTCGTCAAAATTTATGAATTTCAATAAATTTGAGACAATATTTGTGAGTTTTGAGAAAAAAGAGCAATGAATTATTAAGTGTGTCGCATTTATTATATAAAGGTGACCTGAAAATTTTAACTGAAAGTAGCACAAAAGTAGTTGTATAAGAAAGAAAAATATGGGCAATTGAATTGGCTTTGAAACACACGTATAAGAGTGTAACTAAGCATTTTTATACATGAATTGACAACGTGTTCATTTTGATAACTAATCATTTACTTTTATGGCAGCATTTATCCAAGTTGAAAAGGCTAGACCTGAGTGAATCTCGGGAATTAATTCGATTACCGGACTTGTGTCTGTTGCCAAATATTGAAGAAATAATTCTGAGCGATTGTGTAAGGTTGCTTGAAGTTTACTCCACACGTTTCCTCAGCAAGCTCAAATGTTTATGTTTAAATGGTTGTGTTGAGCTTAGGACTGTATATATTCCCAACAATATTCTGTCAACATCATCAGGAGTAATTCTTCTTCTCAATTGTCTCAAGCTTCAATCATTTTCAATCAGTAATAGTCAAGTTCCTCCTCCATGCCTTGGTCATGCAAGACCATCACACTCCATATCGCCACGTGACAGACCTCGATCCCTTTTCAGAGCTATAGATGTACCATGGTATCACAAATTTGAAGAAGCGACAAATAATATAAACAAAGTATATGATGAAATGTTGAGAGAAGGTCTTTCCTCCATATTTTCAACTCTCAATAAGCTCTGTTGGTTAGATCTCTCTCATTGTCAATCCCTTACAACCCTTTCATTTGACCTTTCTGAGTTCAAATTCTTAAAAAGACTCTATCTCCGTGGTTGCTCTAATTTGAGAAATTTCCCCCAAATCAAGGGCAGAATGGAAAATCTGGCGGAGCTCATCCTAGACAAAACAGCAATACAGGAACTACCTACATCCTTGTGCCATTTGGTTGGCCTTGAAGAATTGAGCTTGCACAGTTGCACCAGACTTGAGATTATTCCATCTTCTATTGGTAGTCTCACCAAACTCTCCAAGTTAGGCCTTACCTACTGTGAATCACTTGAAACGCTTCCGAGCAACATTTTCAAATTGAAGTTGACCAAACTTAATTTGCATGGTTGCTCAATGCTGAGAACCTTCCCAGAGATCTTGGAGCCCACAAAAAGTTTTGCTGACATCAACTTAACAAAAACGGCCATCAAAGAATTACCTTCATCATTTGAAAATTTGGTTGGGCTACGGATCCTGCGTCTAATCATGTGCATTGATCTTGAGTCACTTCCCAACAGCATTGTTAATCTAAACCTTCTCTCCGAACTTGATTGTTCTGGCTGTGCCAAATTAACAGAAATCCCGAGTGACATTGGTCGCTTATCATTATTAAGGAAATTGTCAGTGCAAGAGAGTGGAATTGTGAACCTTCCTCAGAGCATTTTTCATCTTTCATGCTTGAAATCACTTGATTTAAGTGATTGCAAAAATCTCCAATGCATCCCGCAGCTTCCACCATTTCTAAAACAATTATTGGCATATGATTGTCCATCCATTAAAAGAGTGATGCCAAATTCAAGGATTCAAATCCCATCAGATTCCAAAGAGGGTATCTTCAAATTTCATCTCACCAATAGTCAACAACTGGATCCAAGTGCTCGTGTTAATATTGTGGATGTTGCATGGCTTAAGATCACTGACAATGCATATAGGTCTGTATTCTTTTACTTTCCAGGGAGTGAAGTTCCTCATTGGTTCCCTTGTCGTGCCGAGGGACATTCAGTAACTATAAATACAGATTCTCTAAATTTGTGCAATGATGATAGGATCATTGGTTTTGCTCTGTGTTTCACTTTCGGACTGTTTGATACGGATGATTTTCTTGGTAGATATGGTTATTTTAATTTCGGACTAAAATTTGAATCTCATGATGCCACACATATTCTTCCCGACAATGATGAACTAAGAAGTGGTTTATATTGGAAGGGTCGAAAGAGAATTGTTGATCAAGATCACACACTCCTGTGGAAATATAACTTAGAATCACCAGGGATGAGCCGTATGCTCAGTCATGCTCAGAGCTTCACCTTTGAGATCAGCATCCCCCGATTTTTCAAATCTAATGTCACAGTAAAAGAATGCGGAGTATGCCCTCTTTATAACAAATAAAAAGATAATAATGCTGGTGCTGCAGACTTTTTTTTTTTTTTTTTTTTTTGAGATTTTCAAAACCTGACAATGTAGTGGAAGCAAAGTTGCATAGCCATGTATGGAAACAAAACAAAATTGAAGGAGGAAGGGAAGGCCTTCGCTAAGCTACCTACTCAGCCAGTCTCATTTCTTCCGGTAAGTTATCTTTCCTTGGTGTTTAAACTGGCTTATCGCCAAAACTTTTTGCAAACTTTAAATGTTGAAGTTTCATTATCAAATTTTCATTTTTATTGATTTTTTTTTAAATTTTATTTACATTTTGGGTTTATGAAGCGCTCGGTTGACACAGCATTCAATGAGTTCATTCGAATGTGTACAAAGATTTCTAAGTTATGGTGAGATATGGTTTGATGTTTCTATATCAGCAAAAGTTGGCTTGCCCTCTTTTCCCGCAACTGCAATTTCTTGAAACTCTTTCCATTTTGGCTTCATAACTTCTTTATGGCCAGGACATGGCCAAATAATGCTACTGTTTCCATAGATGCAGAGGGCAGAGGCAACATGAATTCCTGAGGAATGAGGATCTCCATTTGAAAGGGTATATCCTTTTCATAGTTTTCTCCATCCTATCAAGTCTAATATTCTCAGTTTTATGACAAGGTTACTTTTGGTATTTAATTGTTGTTATAATTGAATATCTTATCACTGAATAAGGTTTCTGCATTGAGCTTTAAAACAAGAAACTTTTTTCCTTGGTTAACTTGGAATTGTTGATGATAAGAAGTAATTCATTATTGATCTTGGTTGGTGGCACATTTCCTAGACTGATTGACTTTTAATTAACTTTTTGTTTGCCTTTCTGAATTGCTATTAATAAGTGATTCCTTTGGGCAGATAATATTGGTAATCATTTTTGTTTCAGGCATTTCAAGTTCAGCTGGATTTGATGGATGCTGCTCTGTTGTGGCATTTTCTACATTATGGCCCTCATTGTCTTGCGTATGTAAACTTAATATTGAGCACGAGTCTAAATTCAAAGTTGTTGTTTATTTGCATTGACGCAACTTGTTTCATTTGTGTCGTGACTTATAAATACTGCTGGCATGTGATTGATAATTTTGTATTAATTGTAGTTTGATTGTCTAGTTGAATCATGTAGTTATCAATGGAACTCCTTTAAAGTAAAACCTTCTTCCTTATTAAAGGTGTTTGTTATTGAGCATGGTTTTATAAATCCATGCTGATTTGTTGTATGCATTTTGAGTATTCATGCGAGAAATCGTTATGAAATATGAACGGCTATTACATAAACCAATTGCATTGATGTATGAGAATCTTGGCATGTACATAGAATTTCCTAGTTGTGACAGAATTTTTTTTAAATAAACTTTGTTGAGGAGACATGTTTTACCTTTATTTCATTTTTTTTTGTCAATTCCTTTGACGCGAGGAATTTACTTCAAAAAAGCAAGGTAAAAAATTATAACCATTGAATAGTTGAACTTTAAATAAATACTGTCTCTTTTTCTATTATATTAAAAAAATATTCTTAAATATGAGAAAATCTCATTTCTAAGAATTAATCACTTACTTTATGTTATATCTTACGAGAAATAAATGCATAGGTTGATTGATTGTTATATATAAAGTCTCACATGATGATTTCTTCACATAATGTGGTGAATATCTTTTTTAGTTAAATTTATTTATTTTGGTTAACACAATAGGTGTTTCATATTATATCTTAATTTAGTTTTTTAATCTTTCTTATGTATAAAAAAAATATTAGCAGATTTTAATTATTTTTACTTCATTTAATAATATTCTTTTTAAAATATATCTTTTTTAATGTATGACTTAGTTGAATTATTTTTTTATATATTTATAATAGGGACAATTTAGAAAGAATTGTAGAAATAATAAATTTTGATTCATACACAATTAATCATGTATTAAATTAGACTCAAGCCAAATTTAAATTATGACTCATCTTGACCCAAACATTGAATTGGCCCAAGATCACGAGTTGATTCAAGTCAACACAAAATAGTCTTAACATATATTCATGAATAATGGATCACACTTCACACCATGACATAAGGTAGAATTATTGCTTATGAGAGAGGACCTTTGGTCTTGTGTCAAGAAATTCAACTTATCTTAAACATCTATAAATATCACCAATATTATTCTAGTCTATTTATAGATAAATTGATATTTTCATACATATAAATTAATATATATTAATATCCTTACACTTTTATATCTATAATAATATATACTAATATATAAAAAAATACTCTTTTTTGGTAATTATCTTCGTCTTTACATTTTGTTTACTATTATACCTTTTTATTTAAAAAAACTAGAAAGAATAATATATTTTTTATTAAACTCAAGAGCTTGAAATTAATGAACTACTTATAACACCAATTAAACTAACATACTTTTGTTATTTAATTTTTATTTTCAGTAGAGACACGAAGTCTTGACTCCACTAATTTATACCTATTATAAATGGGATACATTTTAGTAACCACCTTTTTGGTCTCCACTTTTTAGTGGACCTTTATACCCTTGAATGTAAAAAAAATTCTTATATCTTTTATAATTTCTAATATTTGTCTGTGTATAATTATTAGAGGCACGAAGTACGTCGGCCCCTCTAATATATATATAAAGAGAATTGGTTTTAGTAACCATCCTTTTGATTTTCATTTTTTGTATTGGACACTATCATCCTTATATTTAATAAAATTTATACTGATATATAAAAAGGACACTCTTTTTTATAACCACCTTCATCTCCACATTTTGTTCACCATTATACCATTTTATTTATAAAAAAAATAATAATATTTTTTTATCAAACTCAAGACCTTGAAATTAATGGACTAATTATAACACCAATTAGACTAACATACTTTTATTATTATTATTTTTTTATCTTTAGTAAAGACACGAAGTACCTCAACTCACTAGTATATATAAAGGGAATAAATTTTGGTAACTATCTTTTTTATTTTAATTTTTGTATTTGATACTATTATCCTTAGATTCAACAAAAAAAATTCTTTCATTTTTTTTTCAAAAATAAATATAGAGGCACGAAGTGTCTCTTTCTCTACTAGTATATGATAAAATAAAACATTAGAGTTACCACTGCTGTGATAAAAGTTATTGAATTTTTAATTGAAAAAACTAAAATTACACAATTATAGTATTTAAAGAACTGAAATTATCTAATTAAAAATAATAAAAAATTAAAATTACATAACTGTAATATTTAAAAAACTAAAATTATTTAATTAATTTAAGAATACTAAAATCATATAACTGTAATACTTGAATGATAAAAATGCATTTAAGAAAAAAAATTATAAATTTGAATGAATTAAAAATATAATTTTATATTATTTTTAAGTTAATTAAAATTATTATTTTAGTAAATATCGATTATTATTATTTTTCGATTTCAACCATAATTTATTGCTATTTTAATTTATTAATTATTTTTATTTTATTACACAAAATTTATAATTGAGTGGAAATCGGACACATGTCATGGGACCTTCTGTTTGAATAGTTTGGATTGATTTGTAAATGTGTCATCCATTTAAAAGAATAGTGATTTGAATTATAATTATTATTTAATTACTATACGATTCTTTACTTTATTTATCATCAAATATTTTATCACATGTAGTAATTACAATGAATGTAATAAATGAAATATCTAGTAATTATTATGGTTAGTAAATTATGATTTTATTAGTGCAATCAATTTAATAATATGTTTATAGAAGAAAAATTATAAATAATGAAGTAGTCCTTTTGAATATATGTATAAGTTCCCTTCAAAAAAAAAATATGTATAAGTAAAAAATGCTTAAAATTATTAGACTGAAATGTAAAATTTCATCAATTCAACTTTATTTAATATTTTTATTTTAAAAATATTCTTAAAATAATGAATGAAAATATATACTATATATAATAAATGCAGCAAATAAATATTTTTAAAAATATAATGTACTTCTATAATAATTATAGTATATGTTTTATATAAATTTTCGAAAATTAAATTAATTTAATCAACTTCCTTAATATATGAAATTATATATATATATATATATATATATATATATATATATATATATA